ATGCAAGTATCTCAGCCTAGCCCACGTGCAAAAGCCCATTTGATGAAAAGCAACGGTTCTCTTCAAATTGGTTGCTTGCTTTTCCCGATAAACTGAAGCTCGCCTTACTTCCAAAGAATCCCAGCAAACATCAGGTGCTTGGTCAAGCAGCTTTCACCCCTGCCCCTGTGGGAGCCCCAGCGGCGAGGGCCCGCACGGCCCCAGCCGCCGTCCTTCCCCTCCCCGGGAAGGGGACGGGAGAGGAGCGCTCACCCGCCTCCCTGGCTTTGCTCTTGTCCACCTCGGGGCTATTCCGGTCACTCTCCAGGCCGCCTGTCAACTGCTTCACGGTCTCCAGCATCTCCCTCCGCTGCTCCTCTTGTGCTTGGTTGTCCAAGAGCTGCTCCTTGCTGCTGCTGCTGAGCCGCAAAAAGGCGCCGGGGCGGGGAATAGCAGAGGGGGGCAGCTTGTCGTTCTTCTCCCTGCCGGTGCTCCCCCGACTGGAGGAAAGGCAAGGCGGAGACACGGACATGAGCTGGCCCACCAGGGCAGCCAAGAGGCAAAGGCAGGGGTGTCATTCCGACGATTAGCACCCAGCTTTGGCGCCACGCGAGAGCCAGGCAGTGCCAGGAGAGCGGGCAGCTGCTTAGCTCCACCACCCTGCTTTCCAGCCCGGGGCAATCTCGCCAAATCAACTGGGGGCTGCCAGGGGCTCTACCTAGTCAAGGCCCTGCGAGGATCCAACTCCAGGGCGGCGCCAGAGACAGATGACACAGGCGCTTGCAGCGCAGAGAAGCGGTTCAGGCTCGTGGCACTTGGTCGCAAGCAATCTGCAGAGACGTTGAGAGAAGAGACCCTGCCCTCAGAACACAGACCCCCCCACCCCTCGCCCAGCCCGGCAGGTTTTCCAGCAAGCGCCAGCTTAGTAGCGCCCCCCCGCTGCCCACTGGATTCAGCCAGCTGTGGCCCGCACCAGGTTCTCCCAGGCCCAGCTGCTGTGCCCTTACCAATCTCGCTGGCCTTGGCTCCACCGCTGCTGCCCTTTCCCCAGCTGCCCAACTGGGCTTTAGGCACAAGCTGGATCTTCTCGTCTATCGAGGGCTGCAAGGGGCAGAGCCACTGATTAGCGAGTGCCCAGAGGCTGGGGCAGTGCCTCGCCCCCCATGCCACGCCAGGCCAGGCCAGGCCAGGCCAGGCCAGGCCAGCCCTGCAGTGCCAACCGAGGCTTGCCCTTCCATACATTATCATCTCAGAAGTAGGGCCAAGAGAGAAGAGCAGCGGGGCCCTGCTCTCACACAGCTTGGCAAGCCTTCCTTGGACCACAAGGGCGGTTTAAGGAGGGCTCCATCGAGTTCAAGCTCAGCTCTTCACCGCGTTCCCAAAGGCGTCCTTGCCGACCATGCGGAATGCTTGACCCGTGACCCGCCCAGCAGCAGCCTGGACTTTCTCACGCTCTTCTATTCAGATACTAACCCGACTGGGCTTAATTTTCTGAAAATCAGCAGATTCTGCTGCGAGTCCCAGAAAGGATCTCTGCCTCCATGCATACCTTGGTGATTTTAAGGAACTTGGTGGGGTCCAGCACACGACTATTTTTTGCCCCCTGCACGGTGTTCCATCCTCCTTCTTCCACCCTCTGGACACCTGCAAGAGCCGAAGGAACGTCTGTTTGGTATTCCTGCGGCATTAACGCTGCTCCCAAGGTGCGATACTCCACAAGTCCACCCTTGCCTGGGAAAACCCATAACCTGGAGGGTTCTCGGAGCTCTGCAGAACACCCAGCAGTTGCTTGCCCTCGGGAGGCTTCAACCCTGCGGGGAACTGGGCTCTGCGGCCCACACCAAGGCCCCTTACCCGGCCGCCTTTTCTCTTTGGTCATCAGCTGCTGGACTTTCCGCTGCTCTTCCTGCTCCTCAATTTTAGCTTCTTTGTGGATCTGCTCTATTGTCTTTGGGCCTTGATCTGCCCTCCGTGAAACCCAGTTACACTGAGGAAGAGAAGGAAGGGAAGAAGGAAGAGGCAGCTCTTCTCTTTCCAGCCCCCGGCACAGGAAGGGGCCCTGAGAAGGAGGGGAGCACTCCCTGTAAACCTCACCCCTGCGAACAGCGCAGGCCAAGGAGAGCCAGAGCGCCCCTGGATACTAACGCCTCGACCACCGGCTTGGAGCTGCCCTACCCAGCTAAAGGAGGAGGAAGGGCCCAGGGAAAGGATCTGGAGTCGTCCTGTGACCTCTTACCTCAGCAGACACATACCTGCCGAAGGTCAATGACATCCTGCAGCATGAACCGAATTCTTGAGGAAGTTTTTCTCTCTTTCACAATTTTCTCCATTTGATTGAAATACTGGTCCATTCGAGGCTGGAGAGAAGGGACTGAATCACACCTGACGCTCAGCCTCCTTCCCCCACCTTCAGAGGGGATGCGGGGGAGAAGAGGTCTGGCCTCCAAAGACCACGGCTCCCAGGCTCCTCACCTTGGCTTTCTCGAAGTCCAGGTCTTTGCCGATGGTGGTCAGCAAACGGCAGAGGCATTCCAGGGATTCCTCGTCGTGGTTCTTCAGCAGCTTTACCACGCAGTCATGCATGATGGCTTCTGTCAACATCTTCAGCTTGAAAAGTTCCCCGATGAACTTGATGTTGCCAATGGACCGCCTTCGGGCCTTGTCCTTGGCCTCTTCCAGTTCGTCGTGAAGCCGAGTCCTCTCCTCTGGCTGTGGGGAAAGAAAGAGGCCTGAGGAGATGAGTCACCAGCCGGGCAAGCGCAGAGCAGCGGCAGAGCGCGCGTTCTCCCCTCCACTCTTTCCGAGGCCGGCTGCCAGGAACGTAGGCTACTTCCGCTGCTCCAGGGCCACCGAAACCACAGCTACCCTCTGCAGATGGGAGGCCATCACAAAACTCACCATGATGGCAGCCTCCAGCTCCTTCTGTTTCTTCTCAAAGACGTCATCGTCGGCTTTGTCCTTTTCAAATTCTTTCTGGCAACGGTTCAGCAACAACTTGCGGAAGTTGACTGTGCTCCCGGGTTTGTCAGCCATGGGCACTTTCAGCTGCAGGTCCAAAAGCAGAAGGTAAACAGCAAGCAGACATTAACAAGCAGGATGCCCCTTTGCAGCTGCAATCAGCTCCCGCTTCTGAATTGCCTTCAGGTATCCAAATCTGCTAACACAAGCAACGGGCAACCATCGAGGGTTCTGGGCAAAGGGCAGAAAAGACGCTCCAGCGAGGCCTCCTTTCCTCTATCACCCTATTGCCCACTTAACTACTGCACTGGCAGGGAGGCTGGAGACCTCAACAGCAACGGCTGGAGGTACAGCTGTTCGATAACCGCCTTGACCCTCTGCCACATCCTTTGCACCAGTGGTCTCTGGGATCCACGGCGGGTCTCCCGAGCTGCTCCCCCTTGGTCTGGCCTCAGAACAGCCACCACATGAGGGAGGCTGGGCTGGGAAAGAGAAGAGCTCCCATGGCCAGACTAGATTGGAACCCAGATATCCCCCGCACTCTCTGAGGAGCCCCCTCTGGCCTTCCTGGTTCCGAGCCTCACCATGACAAGGCCCCTGCACATGTTTGCGTAAGCCACGGAGAAGCTGGGCTCGTCAATGGCTTTCTCAAACACCAGATCGATGACCCCTTTCAGCCTCTCTTCCGTGTCCACTGTCAGGTCGGTCACTTGCTTCATGAGCTGATTGAACATCTGGGGAGTCAACTTGTTCAAGATGCTTCGGACCTTGCGGAACAGCTCCTAAAAGGAAGGAGAGAAAGAGGAATGCAAACAGTTCCTGTGGCCTTTCTGGCCCCCAGAAGACCAGCCAAAAAAGACGCAGGCGGCCGTCGACCGACCTCCCAGGGAGCCCGGTTTAAGCCAACGCTTCTACCCCACTGATGGCTGGACTGGCAGGGAAAGGAAAAGAGGGATGGGTTCAGGGACAGCCAGGGACGCAGCCCTGCACGCCTGTCCAGGAGCACCTCTGCTCTAGCAGCCCCTTACCTGCACTGGGGTAACGCAGAAGGACACAAGGAGGCACATTCAGAGAGAGAAAAAGTGCTTGTCGAAAGAGGTAGCAGGCTGTCTGGCATCGGTTACCTATTCTCTCGATGCCACACCAGCCAAACGGCAGAGACGAGGAGCCAGTCAGCACTTCTCTCCACTCCTCACCTGGGTTTTGATGCTCTCGGGGTCCTCCGCTTGCGTCTCCCGCTTCAGGCTTGGCTTCCAGGCGTTCTCGGCTTTCTTCAAATGGACATCCTCTTTGACGCAAACCGTGATGATCTTCCTGGGCTCCCTCCTCTGGCCTGGCTGAGATCTCCGGGGTCCAACATTCAACAGCTAAGGCAAAAATGAACCATCCAGATACTACACCTGGCTTTACATGAAGAGAGTAATCAACCTGCGCTCCAGCCACGAACAAACACGCAGACCTCGTGCCCTCTGCATTAGCCTGCTGGAGCTAGCGCCGCGAGGAGCTGCCTTTGAAGAGGGCAGAGAATGCAGCAGAGCCATTTTAGCGTTCAGGACAGGGGACCCTGGCTACCTGTGCAATTCCAGGGCCAACTGGAGGTGCACCGAGCCAGGCATTACCTTTAAAGCACGCAACAGTTTGCCTACAGACCCAGCTCAATGGCAGAACAGAGGCTTTGCTGGCCAGGACTTCCAGGCTTCTCCAAATCTGGTCCTTGGGAAGCTGCGGCTGAACAGCGCAGGCCAGACGCTCTGACTCAGAGCAAGGGGGAGAGAGGAACCCAACAGACTCAAACACTTGAGGACTCCAGGTGATTCTTAACTGGTAAGCCTGTCATTTTATAGGCAGCTTTCTTCACCACTAGAGTTGCATTCAAGTGGCTAATATTTTACGCTGCTCTTTTTATATGTTAACTTGCTTTGTGAACTGTCTCTAAAAGGATTTTGGCCCTGAAAGACAGTAGGAGAATATCTAAATGAAGATGAAATCACATCACCAGCAGCATCCTGATCAAACCAGCATCCAGGTCTGTTGGGGACCATTAGCCAAAGACTAGTGCCTGGCACAGGAACCCAACTGTGGGATCCAAGGCGGAATCTCTGCAATCCACGTCTGACTCCTCTTGACCACGTTGTCCCTGGACTGCATTTGCTGTTTGAAGGACACCGTTTCTTTCCAAAGAGCCCCAAAGCCTTCTGAGGATCGAGAGAGTCCCCTGGAAATTCTACCCTTGCTCTGGAAAATCAGTTCACCTTTCTCTTTATTAAGTTGTACGCTTGCAGATGGGCTATTTGCATTTTAAATACATCACAGCTAAAACTCAAGAATCACTATCACAGACCATGCAGCCAGTGGAAAAAGAGCAATGCGCATTTCAAGCCCAGCCACAAAACCAAGCGAGCAGAAAACTCCGGTCTGGGGAAGCAGGAACCAAACCTCCTCTGCCTTCTCTTTCTGCTTGCTAAGGTGTGTTAGCTAGCCCAGCGCTTTCCAAGAAGCACGTGACCAGCAGTGCAGCAGCACAACATGACCTGACGGTGCACCAATGCAAACGCCTCCAAGTTAACAGGATCGATCCAGAAGGACCACAAGGCGTTTCCCCAGCACACTGCTGAGGAGACTCGTCAGGTCGTGCTGGCAAGACTTGGGGGGCCAAGCAACTGACCAGGACTTGTCCCATTCACCAGTGGCGCAAGGGTGGTGCGCTCTCTGCCGCATCGGGAGCTCAGCACCTGGAACCCTTCCTGGACACCGACCAGGCCCCTCTTGGCCCTCAGCGGCTTCAGCCGCTGTCCCACCCTGCTCTTCGCAGAACCCTCTCCAAATCTCAGGCAGAACAGCAGGTTGGCAGGGCTCCCTTCTCCGAGGGGGGTCTGAGAAAGCCTCGCGGGCAAGACCCGAGAAGCGCCGGCACCAGGGCGTCCCTCCCTTTGGCTCTCTCGCTGGCCTGATGCTGAACTGCTGGCAGCCTTTCCAATTGTGGGCAGTCAGGCCTCAAAGCCCACCGGCCAGAAAGGCTCCAGGGCAGGCACTCATTTCCAGACGCTGGTCAGTCTTCTCCCAGCACCTTCTGCAGCCCAACCTCCCTCGCAGACCCCGCAATGGGGTTCAATCCCCAGCTGCGTGGACGAAAAGAGGAGGATCTGGGGGGCTCTGAAGGGCCACAGTGACCCCCCTGCCCCCAACCCTGCCGGAGCTTGGAAAGACACCTGGGACACCAGTCTAGCGAGGGCATCCAAGGCCATTTCTTTTCCAAGCTCTCTCACCTGGACCCAGGAGTTCTGAATGAACTGCCCGGTTGACCAGCACACCAAACCTTGCTTAGTGAAGCTGGTCTCATCCACAAAGCCATGGACCTCAATTAGACCATTATTCCCCACTTTTGCCTTAACTAAGCATCTGCTCCTGGCTGAACGCTTCACTATTCCTCGCTAACACCTAACCTTCCCTTGCTGATCCCTAAACTATGCAGCAATTTCTGTGGAAACAACTGGGGGGAGGGGGAGGGGGGAGAGGAGAAAAGCCTGTAGAATTGGCCCAATACAGGCAGCACAACACCGGGGTGTGGTTCACCACGGTCCACCCCTCCCACATTTGCACTCACCATGGCTGACTGGGAAAGGGTCTCTCCTATGTAAGCGTACTGAATTCATCAATAAAGCTTTGTTAATTATATTTATTCTGGTTTCTGCTGTTCATTCTTTCTCTGGAATCTGAACCATGGCTCCCTCAGTCAGCAAAAACGCAGCAAATGGTAGAAACAGACGGTTTCCCCTCCCGCTGACAACTGAGGTGGCCAAGAGTCAAATCAGGCCCCAGGCCTGCCCGCAGCCTCCCTCGGCTTCAGCCTCAACCGCAGAGCTACTGTTCTCAGGCAGGCGACAACATCCGGGGCTGCCTCGGGAAACAGCAGGTAGCTCCTAGGCGGAAGCTCATTGGCACACGCCCTGGATGATCAGGCAGCCGAGGCAGTGAATGCAAGGGGCGAGAGCTGCAGGCAGGAACCGTTCCCCGGCATGGCACTTGGTGCTGCAGACCGGATGCAGGAGAAGCCAGCGGGCCCAAGAGGACTCACCTGGCTTCCCCCCTCCACAGGACTGCAAAACACAGCCTCAGGTGGATCCAGCTGAGGCCCAAGGTCCAGCATGCCCTCTGCAGGGGACGTCCCCCTGCCCCGATGCAGCGCAAGGCTGCTGCCATTTCAGTCACAGTCTGCATGGGGCCCCTCCCCTTCCGGGGTAAGGAGGAAGGAGAGGGGCCTTGGCAAATGGATGCTCACAGTGGGGGTGGGAATGGGGCTGGGTAAGGGGGCAGCGGGAAGGCTTACCCCTATCTGCAGGCTCCTCAGCTGGGGGTGAGACGAGACCAACAAAGGGCATGCTGGGGTGCCACATCGAGCGCCAGGGGGGAGTCCAGGTGGGGGCTGCACTTTGCAGGCCTGAAGGAATGAAGGAAGGAAGGAAGGAAGGAAGGAAGGAAGGAGGGAGCGTCACCTGCAGACTGAGGCCGGCCGGCCTGACCAGGGAAGAGCCTCGGTAGGGATTCTGTGGCCCCTGGGACCACCACCCCGCTGGCCAGCCAGTGGATCCCTGCTTGCCCCCCCACCTTTCCCAGGCTGCCCCCAGCCCCCAACCGGAAGACCCCCAGAGCAGATGCTCTGCAGAGCCCTGCCCTTCAGGCAGAAGGGGCCGCTGCCGCTTGGGAAGTGTCCAGGGAGGCCTGAGCTTCGGAGGAAGGGAGGAGCAGAGCAGAGCAGAGCAGAGCAGAGCACGAGGGAGCCACACAGCCAAAAGAAAGGAAAGAGGAGGGGAGAGGAGGGAAGGGAAAGAGGAACTGCAGATCAAAACAGCCTCCCGCGCATCTGCCGGGGCGCAGCTGATTGTGCACAGAGCAGGAGAGCAAAAACTTACTCGCAAAGAACACAACAGGCGATTCTCACTTACAGTTGCACCCCGCCCGCCAGGGACCTGTCTTCCAAAATCAGCAAACGCTGGTGTGAAGTCTGGACCCCGGGCCAATATCCGAGAGTCCAAAGTTCGAAGAGGCAATTTGGGCTGATTGATCTGTATGGGCAGAAAGAGGCAGAGCTGCAGAGGTCCACGCAGCGGGTCTCACGATTAGCGAGCGGGGAGGAGGGCTGGCGGGACTCCTGTCTGCCCCTTCTTGGCTGCTCAGAAGCTCCTGGAACTCTAGCCCAGCCCTCCTGCGTGTCTGTCCAGGTGGCCCAAAGGAAACAAAACGGGGCTTTCCAGGGACACTGACCGAGGAACTGGATGAGACAAAGGCGGCAGCAGTCCCATCTCCTTTTTCCTTCCCTCTGCAGCCTTCTTTGCCGTCAAGGCAAAGCAAAGCACTTCCACCACCTTCCCCACACTTGCTTCACTCATCTGGTGCCCGGGTGACTCAAAGGCTCCTCACCTTGTCGAGGACGACATCGCTGATTGGCGGCAGCCCTTCTGGCTTCTGGATGCAGGCAGGCATGAACTGGAAGTCCAGCAGGAAATCTCGGTCGTACTGCTTCTTCCCTTCGGTGTCCGTAGGCTTCCACTGGTCTGTAGCGACAGACATATTGCTCTCACAGTGTCAGGTTCAGCCCAAGAATCACACGAGAGAGTCCAGAAATCAGCTCAGCTTCTTTATTA